ATGTTCATGCTCCACTGTGATCATTTACCATCAGGTAAGCATCCTGCTCGTTTGCCCCTTTTTTCCATAAAAAAATACGTTAGAGGCCACATAAAAAGTAAGTCAGTAAGTTATCCTGAACATGCGGATAAATTGACCTCCGAAATGCGCCTATGCGCCCCGTTTTGTGTGAATCGTACTTGATGTTCATTGTGGTACACGATCTTAGCTAACATTACATGTGGCCTTTATGTCAGCACTACTGCCTAACGCGGTATCGTCTTGAACATGTAGGTTACTTTGCTGGGTTTCGCTTACTAAATAATGAGGGCTGATCGAAATATTAGTCCACAGTTTATCCTTACTGGCTGTGTATAACGTGTAATTTCATCACTTTTTCTAAATTGTCCTTTTTCTAAAGACTAGGCTGCATGTCCTATGAACCTTTGCCTTTGCGAAAGGTCGAATCAAAAAGTTAAGTTCATTTGTTGGTACTTGTCATTTGAGATTGCCGCCGGTTCGAACTGACATTGCATAATTTAGTTTTTGTGGATCCATTATCTTCGACTGGTAAGTACTTGGTTTTGTTGATGCCAGTGGTTATTTTGTTTACGTATTTCGTTTTCTTATCAATTCGCTTTTTTACAGTGCATGGCTAGAGGTTGAAATCAGAACACGTTCCTGGTCGTATTATTTGTGATTGCTGTCTGGGAAACTCTGTGCTGGATTTGTTATCCCTCGTGGTAAGATCCTTTGTTATTTTCACTGGTTTCCTACTAAAATTGTAAAAGACTTGCATTGAGAATGTATTTAGAAATCTCACATGAAGGTAGGTTGAGAATTTTATTGTCTCGTGTTTCTAAGGGTGGTTTTTCAAATATCACACGTATCCTGTGATATTCGAAAAACTACAACATCTTAACTGCTAATAAATCTTTTATTAAATCTTCCCATCATTAATTAGACACCCATTAATTAAAACGTTACATGTGTAATAGAGATATAATCTTTAAATTAGTGCACCATAAACGCTAGATCAATTGCCAGTATCGATTATTAACTTTAACCAAGTAAATTATTAACTTACGCTAAGGTTGTTTACCAATAATGGCCTAGATTGTTTGTTGTTATGCCGTTATTAGTCTGTTAATGTATTCAGGTAGAAAATAAAATAATGCAATAGTAAAATGAACTAAACAAAATTCCTATCAATGTTTATTTTTATTTTATTCTACATTTGGACTTAGATTACTTACTAATACTTCGATTTTAGGTTCAATTATTTGAAATCACCCACGCATCTGCCACCTATACGAGTTGTAGATGCCATAGGCGGTGGTAAACTTAACATCAGGTGAACCGCCTGCTTACTTGCCATCTTAAGACATTAAAAAAATTAAAGATATAATATTTAGTCCTAAAATAATTTGTTAAAAGTAACTAATAAGTTTCTTAAACTATAGCAATTATGGGACACCTATGACATTTCTAATTAAGTTTGGCAATTTCTAACTCTATATTATAATATTCGTTTGTGTGCAAAGTTCAGTTTTAAAATTTTTTCGTCCTAAATTATTTTGAAGAGACATCTATCGGAATTTTGCAGAGTTTGCGCTAAAGACGTAGATGGCGCTACTAAACTGTAAACTCTAGCTCCACGGAGAAAAGCCCACACTATCCTGGCTTGAAAATTAAATTTTAAAAATATAGTAGCTTCTACTGCTCTATTTATACTAACTTAAGCAGATATACCAAAGTATCTAAGTATATCACAGTCGCAATACAATAAATATATGAGTTATACATAAAAGTTATGCATTACTAGCTGCTGCCCGCGACTACGTCTGAGTTAAATAGGCTGAAGGCGTAACATTTAGATAGAAATACAGATATACATAAAAATATGTATATAAATACATCGATACATATAAACTTTCGCCTTTATAATATTAGTAAGGATATAAGACTTCATGAACCAAAGTCACGCACACGCTGAAATCAAACACGAACCTTCTAAAATAAATTTCAATCAATTGCGTAAATGCCCTATTTACTTACATAAACCAATGTATTTTCAAAACAAAACCCTAACATGCGATCAGTGACCGATATTTCGGATGTGAAGTGTTACTAATGATTTGACATGCTTGTCAATGTTATTAAACCTTTCTGTAAAACATTGTACCTATATGCATGTACGGCAAGTGTTGGCCCACTAGAAACTAGCAGGAAGATAGTTAATGCCAAGCTGTACGGAGAGTAAGGATCGTGACCTCACTCCGTGATTTCCTATAAAAACTACTATCGGTGGACTACTACAGTAACGTTGATATTTTAAAGTCATCGGCTACTTGCGTTAATAAAACATGCTTATTTTCTCTAATATCGAAACCAAATAATCCCCCACACGGTCTACGCTAAACTACAAACTCGCTACTCAAAGTCTAAGCACGCTTAAACTTATAGTCATTGGGACTGTAAGCGAAAACAACTTCACGTTTATATAGGCACGGGCTTTTTGTGGTTCTCTTACGAGTCGGTCGGTTATATCGAAGGGCTTCTTGATGAAATTGGCACGATCTCTGGAGAAGCGGCAAAAGTGTGCTCGCAAACTGATTCGTTTGGGCCCACATCGATTGCCTGCCCACTCTGTTAGCGATATGAGATACATATTAGATATGTACATTTATATGATACGATATGGCCACTACGATGCCGATCGTAAAAGGAATCTCGGTAGCGTTTCGCCAGATGTACGAATACGCAATGAATTTAATGCGCCTAATGCTCAAGCCAACAATGTATTCAATGAAATTTTACATTCTTAAATAAACATTAAGCATTCTAGTTACTGTTACCGATTTTGCTGTCATTAATTATATACCACATTATCGTTTCGTTAAGTTTATACATATGCATTTGACATATACCACCACGTAGCCGAACTCCAGGTGGGATAGAGGTGCAGCTCTGGATACTTTCTATAAAAACTCTTTAAAAAAAAAAAGAATTTTGAGAATCGGTCCACATGGGTTAGAAATCGGTGACAACATACATAAAAAAATAGGTACATACAATCGAACATGGAACCTCCACCTTTTTTGAAGTCGGTTAAAAATAGTTTACCACTATAAGAATTACGCAAAAGAGTTGACTGCGTGAGTATCATATTCTTATGTTATTTTGTAATCATACTTTTAAAATAAATAAAATTTATATGTTTGTTACACCTAATAATTGCAGGTGTAACTTAATAAATAAACATAGTATATATTAGGAATTACAGTACTTCATGTTACATTTTTTACGTAACATTACTTTTCTCACTTTTTCTCGCAATAAAACAGATGCCGCGTTATCTTAATGGCTCGCTCGCTCGCCTTCCATTTATCGGTACGCAAGAAACGGGAGTTATACGGAGATGTCTACTTGCGACACTCACTGTTTGTACACCGACAATTTAACTGTTCATTCTGCACTGAGGAAAATCTGGTTTACGAAGTGAAGAATGGGGGTAAGAATGAGTAAACAGATGAAATTTTTTAATGTTAGATTTTCTGTGGGGCCCTTTCACAGAGCATCCCACGCAACAGTCTTCGTTGTTGCATGAATGGGCAAGTCCGTTGGGGTAAGTACCACGACCTCACAGAAAACCAGCGTGAAGTGGAAGTGTTCTACTCTTGTGTTTCGTCTGGAGAGTGAGTTAGCCGATACCCACTTTATTATATGGTGGCAACGCGTCTGCAAACCGACAGGTGTAGCAACTTTTCATGGACGGCGGTTATCACTTAATTTCAAGTGAACCGCCAGCTCCCTTGCCACCTTCTCACTTAAAAAAAAGAAAACACAAGAAATGTTGAAACTCCAGTCCTAGTAGAGTCCGTGGCCGTTTACAGCAGTATATAATACCATGTCAGTCGTGCTAAGGACTCCATTTTTTCACGAACGAAAGATGAGGATGTGCTGGTGTGATGAAAATATGCGGTGCTATGTTCTTAGCTCTCTTTTACTTGGAACGCTTTAGCAATTACATATAACTTATTGAAAGGCGAACCAGCGGCACATATTCCGCCAAACTAGGTTGGGTGGGGGGAGGGGGGGTTGGTAATAATTCCCGAGTCGGTCTCGGATAAGTTAACCGTTAGCAGCGCCGTGATAAATTCAATTAATCCGGCGCTATTGTAGTCTGACCGCAGCATATGACTTGCGTAATGTCGGTTATGAATTGTTCGATCTTTGAGTACTCGAGCCCCGTCCACGAAGTGGCAATTTCTTGGCTTAACGGTTAAGATACCTGTGACTGTACGGTTGAGTGGTCTGGTGGCGTTTAAATTTAGCAATATAGTCCTATTATTATCACAATGTATATTTTTATGGGATAAGGTATGGCCACGCAGCCTCGGCTGTTGCACGAATGGGCAGGCTCGCCCGGGTAAGTACCACGACCTCACAGAAGACCGGCGTAAAGTGGAAGTATAATAAATACTGTCGCGTTTCGTCTGGTGAGTGAGGTAGCCGGAGCCCAATCTTTAAAAGTTTGTCAACGCATCTGCAACCGGGATTAGAATTTCGAAATTCATTTACAAAAATTTCATTATCATTCATTCTCTGTGACAATTTTTTAAAGGAATGTCATGTATATCAAACCATTAACCTTATACAATTTTTCGTTAATAGCGGCAAACATAGAATGTAACATAGTGTTTGAATCATTAAATTTGTTGAAGAGTTTTGGAAGTTATCGCGTACCGACAAGATAACGCTTTTCAAAAATAACATATAAAAGATACTTTACAGAAGAAGCGACCTAAGACGCAGTCGCGCGCGAACTTTAGCATTTACGATATTGGATTCGCGATTTTAAAAAAAGCCGCCATCGCCGGTCCAAATGCGGCTTCATTAGCGAACGGAGCGGGGACGGGGGAATGGTGAGGGGGGGGGGGGGGGGGGGGGTGGCGTCCAGGCCAAACGAGCGAGTCCACTAGACTCACGGACCGTTTACAGTTTTCACCAATTAGTCACCGCCGCGCTGAGTGCGCGTACGAGTTGCTCCTCGAAAGGGCGGTTCTCCGATTCGAGGGCGTGCAGGCATTAGCGCTCGCGTTTCGTCGGAAACGTTTAATGTGGCGGTCGTTTAAAACCGGCCGGCCTCTCTCAGACGGATGCTGACATGCGTATCCACGGATCCAGCGACAATTTAGCGTATGGTCGTAAATATTATCCGCTGTCTTGTATCCCCTTGATACGGTATCCTCTATCGGTGGGAATCTTTTTGTATGGAACTTTTTTTCTCTATTATCTTCTCCCCATCCCCTCCCCACCTGGATGGGGTCAGCGCAATATGTAAATCACTCCACTGCGCCACCGAGTCATCGCGGGAAGTCCTAAGTGTCAATTTAAATAGATAATTACGTAGTCTGTAATGACCTTGCAGTCATGGCTAACCTTGTCATGACTTCGGCGCCGGGGGTTGTTGGTTCGATTCCCACACGAGACAACTGTTTATGTAACACAGATCCACGTGAAATTTATGCATGTAAAACATTTTTATCACAAACGAAAATGTCATTCTACAGCATGGAAAACTTTTTGGAAGGGGAGACTACAATAGATCTTCTAGGTCTCGTTAGTCGTTGTGATTCACTACCCTTCACCTTCCACACATGTACCGCGTACACATCTCTGCCTACTCCCACATAGCCTGCCTGCCGTGAGCTTTTACTTATTTCAATTATTCAGCGACAGGCGACGGACGGGTTATTGTGATCCCGGCCCGGCGCCGTGCCGAGAGACGCTCCGCTGCCCCCGTGACTTTGCAACCTCACACAACAAAGGGCTGTCCATTAAATAGTTAGTCGTTCGTGCATCGGCTCTATGATTCGACCTATGCAGTTCCGTGTGCCTTTACGTGCGAGAGGACGCGCTAAATGTTGTATTGTTCTTTTGTGTCGACCTGTTTTCAAATAACCGAACGTGTGAAAATCTCCACGGAGTCCTCCAAACTGATATGGGTCGCAAGATACTTCGCCAGAGTGGATCCAGAATAGACAGAAGAAAGTTTAAGCTGAATAAAACCAGAGTCGTGTTTCGAAACCAAATGAGCAGCCACCGCTTTGACTTTTCTGTTAGGTTTTCATTTGACATATTTCGATTAGCAGCGATGAAAACTCACTAACGTAGTAATACTTCGGTGCGGAAGAGGTACCTCTGATCTTGAAACCTTCGCGATGAGAAACTTTACTTTTCAGAACGGCGAAGCGCGAGAACCGCTTAAACCTCTTGTTATTTTCTTCTAGCATCTACCATTCATATATCACAGCGTTACAGAGATTCTGTTTATGGGCCAGCCCTGTATCGCTTATGAAGTAATAAACACCTTCCTCCCGGCGCCGTGGGCTCCTTTACATGAATAGCGCCACCGCCGCGCCTTTCTTAATTAAGCCCGAGATAGCCCCGGCGAAGTCTGTCACCGGGACGAACTTGATTATAAATACCACAGGACATCACGAGTAAAGAATCAGTAATCACTTTCATCGCGCGTAGCGTACGGAGCGTCTACGGAGCAGCACAGCAAGAATAGAACTCCCCGGGTTTCGTTCCTTTTAGAAGTAGCGAACCACGGTACCTATCATCTGAACAGTGTTTTTTTTTAAAACATTGCCCTTACCTTAGGACAACATTATCCTGTGTTGTAAAGACGTTTTATACGACGTAATTTCACGTGGGTTTGTCCACGCCCAGATGCGAAACAACTATCTATGGGTAGCAAAAATAGTTGTTCCGTGTGGGAATCGAACCCACGACCCCCGACGCCGAAGCCGATACCTTAGCGACTGCGCCACGGAGTCAACGAAGTGATTTTTATCCAGGGAGTAGGCTTAAAGAGTCATTGCGTTTCCCGCTAAAGACTGCGTTACCACTTACCATAGTGCCCATACTATGGTAAGTACCTAGTACTAGTCTACCTAGTAAGTCTAGTACACTAGTCAGTCTATAAAAAAATCTCTCCGGCTAATTCCATAAGTTTTTCATGTATATTATAACGCACGATAGATACTTTTAATTTGTATATTTCACGTGTCTCCGTTTTTGATGGTGCTTTTTCCATGAGTCTCAAGTTGGATTGTTTTATATACAATTTTCTACACTGCATTCAAAACGGCTCGTGTGTATATAGTCGCGTCAACTAATATGACGACAGAATCGCACGTCTGTTAAGTACCTACATATATTGGCCTCATCAAGCTTTCGGCACAGTTCTTAAACTTTTACTTGTGCTTTGGTGCAAGTATTTCGACATATTCCTAATTGGTCCGAGGTATCTTTATGAACGAAGCTCCCAAAGTTCGCCCTGTATTAAGGCCCATTTACACGGTGCCAGTTTCTTGCCTGTTGTATACAATTAAATTGAAGCAATAAATAAGTTGCATGGTCTAAACAACAAATGGTCTAACCAATTATTGCGCGCAATTTATTGCATTCAATTATTGCTCTTGCATGTACAAGAAAATGGCATCGTGTAAATGGGCCTTTAGAGATAAATGAAACACAAGTCTTTTTTATTTGAGAAGGTGGCAAACGAGCTCGTGGTTCACCTGATATGAAGCGATAACCGCAGCCCATTAACATTTGAAATACGTAGGGTTGCCACTCGTCAGACGAAACTTAGAATTTAGACAAGAATAGAGTTCCGAGGTACCAAAAATAAAAAAAAACATGGTACCGAATCTAGGACCTCCTCCTTTTTGAAGGCGGTTGGAAAAACCCGACGGCATTTAAAATACTAACTGTTCCTCTGGATTTTTTTTACGTTGATATAATTTTGTAAAAATATACCCTCTGTTACCGACCAATATCACGTAGTTTAGACTGTAGAGCATACCATGCCAAAGAATTAAGATTACATACATACTTTACTCAAATTAACAAGAAATGTACAGAAGCACGAAAAAGTAAATATTTCTTAAATCAGACGCAATTACTCCTTGCGTATTTAAGTAATGTTTACTTTATTCATTTCATTCAAATTTTTTTAAATGTCTTCCGTAATAGATTAAGAAATCCTAGACTTTCTTTGTCGCAGAATATTTAATAAACAATCACCACGGACACAAAGACACGGAACAATATTAGACAAGACCTTTTTTAACGTAGCTATACTTGTAACGTTTAAAATAATGAGGCGGCCAAAATGCTACATTTAAACGTAAGCTCATGACAAAGAAAAGGGACGCTGTAATTGATCGCATCTTGTTACAATCATATTTACGACGGGTCAAATAACAATGGTTTCCCCCGGGAAACTCGACATTCATTCACGCTGCCGATCAAAACTGATACAACACGCCGTACAGCACAATGCCATTCGTTTATTTGATTCGGAGACATTTTTTCCTCTTAATATCCTATTGGATCCGCGTCACCGACATCTTTGCGACGCGGGCGGCACAGCGGAGACGTCAGATGGGCAGGAAGCGGGCGCGGAGCGGCCGTCTCGCGCGGCGCCCTCACCGCGAATAATAAATAAAAAACGCGCCGTCCGGATGGCGGAGTTCCGAAATTGAATTTCGAATATGGAATAAATTAAACGCTTTTGTTTCTTCTTTTTTTTCTTCTCTAATCGTGCCCCGGTGACGGCTCGAGTGCACCTGCCGGTATTGTTTATCCGCGAGCGTTGAAGCGTGAATAATTGCTCAGTGTTTGTGCTTTCCGAAGGAATATTTTATATCCCTCTCATTGATTTATCCCTGGCGTATGTATTAGTGGTAATAATTAAACGCGCTTTCGAAGCGTGTCACATCATTCCGACGCCATTGTATCAATTTATTTTATAAGCGACTGTTTGTTGTTATTTTATCAACGTACAACCTAGTTACGGTTTATTTATATAAGGGAAAATATTCTCTCGAGTATTTGAACTTCGTTAAATTGAAAATCCTTTCGCTATATACGTGTCTATAGACCTATATTTTATTAATTTACCGCTCTGTTGAAAAGACATCACTATATCATTTATATTATTATCACCTCACACTTAACCAGTTTTTATATCTGTTGCTTAGGATATAGTGTCTTTTTTTCTCATATGTAGAGCCGAGAAAAATTGTTAGAAAATGTATCGAATTTCAATATTTTCTTTTCCGTTATATGTTTCAGAATTAGGTCATGCAGACTATATAGATTTTAATAGCCTTTTTATTAGTTCAAGGATATAAAAGGGAGGTGTAATATGAGTGAACATGTCGTAGTTGCGTCTTATTTTCCTAAGTAACATGATATACAACAAAAGAGTAGTGTTTTTTTCGACTTCATATATTTTAGTATGTTAATAGTTCGGCTATGGCACACATTACACAAAACTTAGACGACTTAAATCTTGGTGTCGACAGAATTTATTTTCATTGCAATTTAATTCACTTATTATGATATAATTCATCGAGTTCAAAATCGTCCAATCGTTTAAGCCTTTTCTATTGCACAAACTAACAGGTCCATCCGGGTAAGTGCCATGGTATACAGTCCATACGCTGTTCTCACAGTAGACCAATGTAAAGAAGAACATAGGTTCATTTTGCAATTATGCGGTCTAGTTTTGTCTAGCGAGTGAGCCTACTTTTTTATCGACTGCGCCAGAAGGAGGGTTATGTTTTTCGAGAGTATGCATGTATAATTGTTTGGCATGCTCTGCAGCCTGAACGGCTTGATGGATTTTAAATTGAGAGATGTCGTTAGATCCGTATTTACTGTGAGAGTGACACTGGGCATATCAAAATAAAAAAATGTATAGAAAGGCAGTCGGGTTTTTTAGTTTTTTAAATTATATTGTACATTTTGCCTAGCGAGTGAGCTAAAGAACGGCAGCTCAATGTAACTTTAAGTTCACTTAATATCATGTGGACCCAATGCCTGTTTGCCACCATATCCGGTTTGTACTCCGATAGACTTTATTTGATTCCGGATATTTACGACTCCAAGCAAAAGCATTCGTAACATATTTATAAGATTTGGATATTTAGGAAAACTAATAAGAGTACATAGTGCGTGTTCAAAAAGTCTGTACCAAAATAACATTATTGATTTTGAATTTTAAATGCTTGCACATTATTTGTTGGCTTACAATGACAGTAGGATAGTACAGTTGCTTAAAGCAGGAGCATCGTCGCGGCGGATCGTAAGTTCGATTTTTGCGCGGACAAGTATTGAAACCAATATTGCTGTTAAGAATTAACTTTCGCCCCTGGCAACACCGCGAAATGTCAAATCACAACTCTTTTGAAACCCGATCGACCCGATTGTTTTGTATCGAATCAAATAAAAATAGTATTAAAAATCTACAAAATAGTCGACCTATTATTTAAAGAAAATCCCAGGAGTTAGCGGATTCATTGGTGACCCCGACGTGATCTACAGAAGAACTGCACACAAACAACAACATAACAAAAGCCGCCAATCGGAGACTAAGAAATCAACAAAGGAGGCAATATTCAACCTCAGGATCTCGCCAGCCAGCAGCTGCAGCCACCTAACCGAGGGAAGTTGCTCAATCCTTGTCTATTTTTCGTTTCCTTCTCCCTTTATTTGAGTAAATGGTGTCGATAGTTCTCATAGGTACCTACATATCTACGGTAAAATGTGATTTTTTCCGTCTTAGTGTGCTACATTTTCAAATTATTTCTACTTTTGCTATCACTTTAACTAATTTCAGTTAAATTAAGCACGTTATTTCCTTTCTAACTAAATAAAAGACTACATTCTATTAATTCGTATCTCGTTTTACCGCGTTTCGCCCTGTCATTTGCTGTCATGTACCGGCATTTCGAGTCAACAAATTGCAGTTAGTTTTTATATCTAGATCATTCTAAACTTATTTTATTTATACAAAAACATTAAGCCAAACCTATTTCTCAAATATTCCAGGCGAAATTGGAAAGCAAGCTGTGCGTAATTTCATAAATTATCGGTGAGTGTGTCGCGCCGTATTCCAGCTACGCACTGTGTTTGTGCACCGTGCCACCGTGTGACGCACATCTTACCTACGAGCGTGTCTTATCGGCGCGTCAGCTGTTCCGGCCGGGTACGTCGCATTGCATTGACTACTAAATAGGAGTTGTTTATTTGTTTATTGTACTTGCGTGTTTGTTGCTTGATTTATTAAATTAAAATGAGTGATCAAGATTTCAAGGATCTTATTAAGCGACGAGCTTCGTTTATGCAACGATTAACTGTATTTGAAAAATATTTAAATCCTTTATTAGATGTGAAAGAGACTAGCAATGTTAAGATAAACGAGCTGCGATTG